GCAGTTATTTTATGATACATGCTTTCTCTTATGTGACTTGAGTGTTCAGAGCCTCTCCCTAGGCAGATGGTGCGCCTCTAATCCCTCTAGTTAATTCTATAGTAACTGCTGTGATAACATCCCGCAGTGAGGAAATGCCGCAGTCATTGTAAAAACAGTTGTCCGGTGGAATAAGATTGTGGTCACAACTAACAAAGACGTGCATAGATCCCATAGAAATAAGAACATTTGCTCCACAACCAACTTTACAAATAAAGTGATCTCTGCCCAGGTGTGACCTTTGGGTATTGGTGAGAGAAAATAATAATCAGATTTCATCTTGTAGAGCAGTTTTAGGTTAAGGAAAAACTGAGCGGCAAGTACCGAGTTCCCATAAATCCTACTCCCACCTGCTAGTAACAATTTCCCCTATTATTAACATCTTGCATTAGTGTGGTACCTTTGTCACAAGCTATGAACCTACATGGATACATCACCCAAAGTCTACACTGTACGTTAGGATTCACACTTGGTGTTGTAATTCCGTGGGTTTTGACAAATGCATAATGTCACGTATCCACTAGTACAGTACTGTGCAGAACAACTTCCCTGCCCTCCACATCCCTGTACTCCACCTACTCATCCCTGTCATCCTCCCCCATGAACCTTGACAACAGTGATCTTTTTACTGTTGCTGTATGTGGATAAAGTGAAGGGTCCTGGGGCCAGGATTCTCACCTGGCCCCAGTTGGCTCGCTCACCACACACACGTGGGCAATATGTCGTTAGTGACTCTATATAAAGAGCTCTGCCCAGTGCCCTGGGCAACACAGTGGCACGGCTGCAAGGCTGCAGGAGAGCAGAGCAGAGGCTGGAGTGGTGGCAGCGCCAAGGACAGAGACTGAGACGGCTCTGCTGGCAGAAAGGCCCAGAGGCAGGGCCCGGCTTGCTACATCCAGACTCGCTCTGAGTGGACAGGATTCTAGTGATTGACCTGCCACCGTGGGAATAAAATTGGGTATAACCCTTTCACCCCAAGAACGTTCTACTGCATTTCTTTGGCCACATTGAATTCATAGTGAACTTGTTCTGGGCTGAAACCCATTGGGAAGACCATAGTCTTGCTGTTTCCAGAACTTCTTATAGCTGGGTTCACCCAGTGTGTAGCCTTTTCACTCTGGCTTCTTTCATTCAACAACATGCATTTAAGTTTCCTCCTGTTTTCATGACTTGGTAGCTCATTTCTCTGTATTGCTGAATAATGTTTCATTGGATAAATGTACCCCAGCTTGTTTGTCCACTCACCTATTGAAGGACATGTTGGTTGCTTCCAAGTTTGGCAATTATGAACACAGTCACTATGAAAACCCATGTGCAGGCTTTTGTGTAGACAGAAGTTTTCAACAACTTATTTGGGTAAATGAGCTCCTTGGTGAGCGTCAGATGGAGGGACTGCATCTTACTCCGGACTTTATCACCAGCACCTCGCCCCATGCACCAGCAGGCCTCCTGTCCAGGAGTGTTTATGGAACAGGCTGTCATCTCTGGCTCAAACCGACAGCAGGGTTGTGGGCAGGTGTCACCGAGGGTGCCTAGTTGCCTGTCCCAACCACATCCTCCTGTTAATAGTTCATTCAGCAGCGTGTTTAGCCAAAGGACACCTTTCCTGACTCCCCAGGAGCTGCCCCCTGCCCCACTTTTTAACGTGGTCAGATAGTTCGATGTATTTTCACCCTATATTTTCTCCTTTTCTCCATTCAAGCTGGGAACATGCTCTGCACAATGTTGAGGGAGGTTTAGGAAGGACCTCCTGACATCTGTGTTCAAAAGATTAAAAATGCAAAGACAGGAAGGGGAGGGAGGGGAGGCCAGCCTGGGGAGTGAGGCAGAGGTGAAGGTGGAGAGAGACCAGTCTGGGGGCTCCACAGGATGCAGGTGGGAATGGCTTCAAGGTGCACTGGGGACCTGAGATTCCAGACCCACCAGAGATTCCCAAGACACAAATGTGACACAGCAGCTGAGCACCTAAGGGACCTTGGGGTCTGCGCCTACCCAGGGTGGAAAGAAAGATGATCAATCAGTACTCTGGGCATTCCCCAGCCAGGGGGCGAGCACCCTTGGACAACGGGAGGGGAAGGAGACATCTAACGGGCATCTCAGCCGCACACGCGAATCTTCAAACTCCAAGTCTGCCCTGCCCATGGCTTCCCCATCTCAGCCTGCCTCTATCCTTCCAGCTGCTCAGGCCAAATCTTGGAGCCTTCTGACCTTTTTCTCTCACACCCCATACCCAATCCCACAGCAAATCCACAAGGGCTGCTTTCAAAACATGTCCAGACGCAAGCACTGCTTACCGCCTCCACAGCTCCCACCTTGGTCTTACCAGAGCCTTCTTTAGCAATGGGTCCTGGCTGGCCTCCAGGCTCTACCCTTGTTCCCAGAGTCTGTTCTCATCACAGCAGCCAGGATTAGCCTGCTGAGCCACATGTGCTCCAAACCCTCCAGTGGATCCCAGCTCACCTGGGGTAGAGGCCAGAGTCCTCACCAAATCCCCAGGTAACCTCCTCTCCTGCATCTCTCTCACTGGGCTTCAGTCACACTGGGCTCTTTGTTGTCCCTTAAAAACACCAACCATGATTCCACCTCAGTGCCTTTGCACTAGCTGCTGCTTGGAAGCCCTTCCCCTAGATACTCAGTGATCCATCCCTGCATCTCTTTCAGGTCTGTAGTCAAATGTCTCCCCCTACAGAGGTCCCTCCTGACTACCCCATCAATATTCCATCACCTCCCCATCCACCCCAATCTGATCCCCATTCTTGATCTTTCTAAGAACACTTATCGATGTAGATCTGCCATTCGATATATTGAACTTATTTTATGTCTCTCCCCCCAGACTAAAATGTAAGCTCTATGAGCACAAGGACTTTGATTTTGTTTATTACTCTGTTCTCAGCAACCAGAACAGTGCTTAATACTTAGCAGATGTTATAGACAGAAGTTTTCAACAACTTATTTGGGTAAATGAGCTCCTTGGTGAGCGTCAGATGGAGGGACTGCATCTTACTCCGGACTTTATCACCAGCACCTCGCCCCATGCACCAGCAGGCCTCCTGTCCAGGAGTGTTTATGGAACAGGCTGTCATCTCTGGCCCAAACCGACAGCAGGGTTGTGGGCAGGTGTCACCGAGGGTGCCTAGTTGCCTGTCCCAACCACATCCTCCTGTTAATAGTTCATTCAGCAGCGTGTTTAGCCAAAGGACACCTTTCCTGACTCCCCAGGAGCTGCCCCCTGCCCCACTTTTTAACGTGGTCAGATAGTTCGATGTATTTTCACCCTATATTTTCTCCTTTTCTCCATTCAAGCTGGGAACATGCTCTGCACAATGTTGAGGGAGGTTTAGGAAGGACCTCCTGACATCTGTGTTCAAAAGATTAAAAATGCAAAGACAGGAAGGGGAGGGAGGGGAGGCCAGCCTGGGGAGTGAGGCAGAGGTGAAGGTGGAGAGAGACCAGTCTGGGGGCTCCACAGGATGCAGGTGGGAATGGCTTCAAGGTGCACTGGGGACCTGAGATTCCAGACCCACCAGAGATTCCCAAGACACAAATGTGACACAGCAGCTGAGCACCTAAGGGACCTTGGGGTCTGCGCCTACCCAGGGTGGAAAGAAAGATGATCAATCAGTACTCTGGGCATTCCCCAGCCAGGGGGCGAGCACCCTTGGACAACGGGAGGGGAAGGAGACATCTAACGGGCATCTCAGCCGCACACGCGAATCTTCAAACTCCAAGTCTGCCCTGCCCATGGCTTCCCCATCTCAGCCTGCCTCTATCCTTCCAGCTGCTCAGGCCAAATCTTGGAGCCTTCTGACCTTTTTCTCTCACACCCCATACCCAATCCCACAGCAAATCCACAAGGGCTGCTTTCAAAACATGTCCAGACGCAAGCACTGCTTACCGCCTCCACAGCTCCCACCTTGGTCTTACCAGAGCCTTCTTTAGCAATGGGTCCTGGCTGGCCTCCAGGCTCTACCCTTGTTCCCAGAGTCTGTTCTCATCACAGCAGCCAGGATTAGCCTGCTGAGCCACATGTGCTCCAAACCCTCCAGTGGATCCCAGCTCACCTGGGGTAGAGGCCAGAGTCCTCACCAAATCCCCAGGTAACCTCCTCTCCTGCATCTCTCTCACTGGGCTTCAGTCACACTGGGCTCTTTGTTGTCCCTTAAAAACACCAACCATGATTCCACCTCAGTGCCTTTGCACTAGCTGCTGCTTGGAAGCCCTTCCCCTAGATACTCAGTGATCCATCCCTGCATCTCTTTCAGGTCTGTAGTCAAATGTCTCCCCCTACAGAGGTCCCTCCTGACTACCCCATCAATATTCCATCACCTCCCCATCCACCCCAATCTGATCCCCATTCTTGATCTTTCTAAGAACACTTATCGATGTAGATCTGCCATTCGATATATTGAACTTATTTTATGTCTCTCCCCCCAGACTAAAATGTAAGCTCTATGAGCACAAGGACTTTGATTTTGTTTATTACTCTGTTCTCAGCAACCAGAACAGTGCTTAATACTTAGCAGATGTTGAAAAAATATTTGCCACATCACCTTTTTATTTGCTTTCCCTCATGCCCTGCCTCATTCCTGCTGCTCCGGGATCATGCTCAGCCACAAGGGATGCAGCGGCACCTCAGCTTTGACTCAGGCTGTTTTCTGGGGAACCCAGGCTGCCATAGTAACTTGCTGTAGGTCACACAGCTTGTAGGACAGGATTCAAGCCCAGGCAGGCGGTCTAAGTCTACAGCTCTGTAGCTTCTACTACTACTATTGCTTTGTCTTGGAGCTTCATGTGCAAAGACAAGTTAACAGCTTTAAAAAGGGTACGTTCCCTACAGTCTCTACAATTCTAAAGCTAGTTGGCTTCACTTTTACCCTGGCAACAGGACTCTCTTTTTGGGACAAAGGAGAGGCAATATAACTTCTGTTTAACACATGGATATAAGAATTATCAACGAGATGGTCAGTTCATGAAATTTATCATCAAAAATGTTCTGAAGAATACATGTAATTTTACAAGACCATTCATCATAGCACCAAGCCTAATATTCCTTAATAGAAAACAGTCAAATAGCAAATACTCTAGTTAATTTCCCACAAGTATAAATTATGTAAAGTCATTTATATCTTCATTTACAATAATCAATAAATAAGAGTGCACATTCACACCATTTGTTTTTACAAAGATCCCTTTTTACAAAGCTACAGCTATGAATATACTAAATAGACAAAATTATCCTTGTACTACAAAATAACATTTCACCTTTTTTTTAATAATAGTTCTCTTAGGAGCTCCCAGTAAAAATCTTCAGACATTGTCCACTGAATCCTGCCATGACACTGAGAAATTATAGCATTAAATCTGTTAAATATTACAGACCTTGGAAAAATAAACACCTATCGCCATCCAATACAGTATGCTCTGAACAAACTCCAGTTTAGTAATTTGTCCTGATGATGTATGGTAGGGAACAACCGTTTTTCCACTTTTTACTATTTGTCTTTGGCTGATATTACAGCACGGATGCAAGTGATGCAGGAGTTATCTTATGGTGCAAGTTCAAGGGCGAAGGGCAGGCCTCTTCTTCACAGTACCTCCCTCAGGTACCAGGCCCACCCAGGGGCTTTTTATACATATGTACCAGCCTTTGGCTTAAGGGATCCATTAGAATGCAAGTATGCCCTCATTCCCACAGGAATTTCTGTACTGATTTATTTGGAGTCTGCTGGGGGAAGGGAAAATAGGTGAGATGGATAGAAAGGTCCAGTTGAGAGCTATTTATTCCTGCAGCTGAGCCTTTGAATTTGAAAGAAATTTCCCTGGGATACTGCCTCAGAGGCTGACTTAATTTAAGGGGTCCAGTTTAGTTCTTCCAGCCCTGTGAAGCAGATCTCCCAGGTGCTAGTTCAGATGTTCACCCCCACTCCTTTCACACAATCCCTTTTGTTGTTCCAGACCTTTTCCAAAGGCACCTTTCTCGGATACTAAAGCCAGAAGCAAAGCTTTAAGCTTTGGATTCCACTTACAAATACAAAGGGGCATTTATGTTAAGCAAACAGGCCACTTATTGAGATTTAAAAAAAAAAAATCTAACTTTCTATCCTTTGGATTTTTAAACCAAGGAAGGATTTTTTTGAAAAAGGTCTTCCAAATTCCCACCCAGACAGGTAAATGAATTATTGAATATCACAGTAGGTGACCCAGAGTGAGGATGAGGGTTCCCGATGCCCAGGCCAGTGCTGTCCTTTGAAATAACATCAGCTCTTCAGGTTAGAACACTTCCAGAGTTTCCCTTAAAAGAAGAGTTGAAATCCTTGCATGACATGTAGGAATACAGGCATTTTTGTGACCGTCCTTTCTCATAGCACAGACTTGCAGAGAATATGCTCTATTGACTTTTGGTGGGGCTAAAAGAAGTGGTAAAATGTTGCAAAGGGGATAAACCTATCAAAAGATTCTTTTTCCCTGTTTGTTTTTGGCAACAATGAAGAAAATCACATTTACACTTAAAACACAGAAAAAACAATGACTATTTTAGACCAACCGATTATGACATCATCCAAACAATCCATGTTCTCACTCCCCATTTTAATGATGCTCTGCCCAACACAGTGAAATGGATTTGTTTTCTGAAGGAGAAAACCTAATTTTCTACTCTGAAAACCATGTGTTGGAGGTGGAGAGGTGACTAGCTGGGGGCAGGATTTAGAATTAATTGAAGTCACAGAAGCCGTCAAAGTTAGACACTGAGATTTTACTGCGGAAGGCCCTTTAGAGGCAGTCGTTTGGTTGTAAATTTGCAGTCATAGGCTAAAACATCGTTTGGGGGCAAGCTCAGTCATTTTTATGCAAGTATGAGGCTATTTAAGCAGTTTTGATGGGGGATTGGGAGTCAAAGTGTGCAGAAACTTGGGAAGGAGAACAAAGTGGGGGGGAGGGTTGCAATATGACCAATAAACCTCACCAGCTTCCAACTCAGACGTTCCACCCTTGCCAACTTGCTAAATGTGCCACGGCGACCAAGAATCAGACTCCTACTAGCACAGCCCTCCTTTCTAAGTAGTGAAGTCCAGGATGGAAGTCAGCTTTGACAACAACAGTCCTTGCTAGTTTTCCCGCCTAGGTTTAATTTCCTCTCTGAAATAACCACCTGTTATGATTGCTGTAGGACTCAATGAGTGATGGGTACACAATGGCTTCCAGTTTCTCTTGTAAAAGGTGTGAATTAGATTGGGGATGGAGCAGCTGCCAAAATGAAGGTGGAATGGAGAGAGGTTGGAAGATGCTGGGGTTAATGGAGATAGATTCAAAGCTTGGAGAGGAAGCAACGGCAGCACAAGGAGCTACTGAGCATTTTGCAACTTCATAACAAATTTGCAAGGAAGAATTATTCATTCAACAAATCTGTGTTGAGCATCTAGTGTGCACAGAAGACACTCAGAGACACTGACTTGCCCAAGATCACCCAGGTATCTGGTGGCAGAGCCAGGGCTCAAATCTACATCTGGCTGGTTCCCAAACCTGTCCTCCTCCCTATCCCATATTACCTCCCAGAGAAGAAAGGAGGGAGGGATTTAAAAACAAATGATTTCAGGTAGAGATGCCTGCTAGATGAAAACTAGACTTGACATCTGACTGTCAGGGATTTTAAGAGTTAGCGGTGGGATCAGGGCCACAGACTGAGTTGCATGTGTATTTAAAAATGTCATCAAATAGCACAAAATACTGGTTGCCTTTTTCCCCTAAAGAAGAGTGTTTTCTGGCTTGTTGACCCTATGGCCCTCGGCTGGGAAAAACTGCTTGCTGCATGTGGTTTCATCAAGGTTCTCAGAACAAATTATAAACACAAAGAAGTTGGTCTTCTCGATTCTGCAGGGTCTGGCAATTCCGGAATGGTCAGAGCAGCTCTGGACTCTGATGACCTGTGCCAGCTCTTGGAGAAGCAGGAGCTCGGTGCCTCTAGGCCTTTGCCCAGTAACTCCACCAAACTCATCCCAAGCTTGATCCCACACACAGCACTGAGGTGACGGGGCCTGAAGTTCACTGTGTCACTCTTAAAAACCAGAGCAAGGAGATCTGAGTGCTCACGTGGAACCTGAAGACAAGTGTCTGCACGCCACGGGAGTGGACGGTCTGCGGCATGTCATGCACCAGGCTCCTGAGTGCTGCCTTTCCTCAAGGAAATGCCTGATGAGAGGCAGAGTTGGAAAGATCGGTGCAGCTCAACGTCCAGCAAAGAAGTGACGTCCCATTCCTGCCTCCCTCACACTGGCTAACTATTAAGGCAAATGCCACAGTAACTGTCAGCAAACAAGCATGCTCTCACACTCAGGCTGGCTCTCAGACTTCAGAGCCACTCACCCCAGGTCCAGGAGCTTGTCATTAGAGCAGCCCCACTCACCACAAGGATGGGCCAGTGGAACAGCCTTCTCCTCAGCGGGAGCCCCAGATGGCAGCTGCAGTCCCAAGACATTATATCTTCCAAAAAGGTAATTTCCATGGAGATGATGCAGTGCTGGGCAAAGAGAAAGGACCCATGTGGGCCTGAAGAGCTTTATGCATTCATTTCCTGGCAAGAGCATCACTAAAAGGTTGGGGAGCCATGCTGGCTGGACACTCCAACTCAGCCCACCTCGGGGACTGCTGGACGTGGAGCTGAGCCCAGGCGGGCTACTTAGCAGAGGTCTCTGAGGGAGGCCTCCAAGGAAGGAGTGGGAGACCAGGTCTCAAAACTCCAGCGGGCCTTCTGGAGTCCTTCCGAAGACTGGAGAAAAACTGAGCTTGTGTGAAAGAGTTCATGTCCCACGACTGCCCTGCACTGACAAAGCCATGGGAAGAGAACGGTTCTTGCCAAAGAGGCTGCGATGAATCCCGGTGCGCGGTGAGCTCCACTCTTTACTTGTTTACTCTGACTCGTGGTTGAGACATTAGCTCCATGATGTTCTGAGTCCTTGGCAGGAAGGGAGGTGCAGCTCAGCTTCAGTGGCTGGAGACTCGTTTTGTAGCACACGTAACTGGGAATCGAATCGTCCATGCTGAGGTCACTAATTAGCAGCGGGACTCGTCACTTTGCCTTCCTGATCTTTGCTGCTCTCATTTCGCAGACAAGGCCCTTACAAGATGCCTAAGGCCGTCGGATACTCTACAACGTAGGAAAATTCACTGCACAGGCAGCTTCCAAATGCTTCTCTGCCTTCTAAGATGTTCTACCCTTACCTGAACCGGGTGAGCACTGCATGGGGAAGAGGGCTGGGGAATGATGTTGTCCTTCAGTAAGGGAGCAGCATGTGTCTTGGCTCTCCTGGGCAGTGTGCAACTAGGGGTCCTCCCTAGTTCCAAGTTTGATGGGAGCCCATCTCCCCAGGCCAGATTTGGCCAGAAGGAAATGCTTGCTAAGTTCCCAACAGCCAACCAACAGAGCACCCTGTTTGTTTGCTGGAAAATCCCAGGGTGGACTGCTTGCTTCCAGAACAAAGTGAGAGCAGCAAAGGAAACCCAGAAACTCTAGAGACTGAAGCTTGTAAGGAGGCAGGAGATTTCAGTTTTGGGGGACAGGGGGTGCTAAGGGGGCCGGGACAGAGAATCTGTTTTTTAATTGAGGCCTTCAAGCAGAGCTGCATGCCATTTAACCCTCTCCCTTCACCTGGCACAGCATTTATGAAGGCATTCAACAGGCCGCAGCCTGGCAGGATGGACATTGCCCCAGCTGGACGCAGGGCAAGTTCACAAACAAGGCAACAGAGCAGTGGACCAAACACAATGGTGAGAAGGCTCAACTGGGACCTGCGGTTCAAGATGGGGTATTGAATACATGGGGCTCATTTCTTCCCTCATGAAACTGCATGGAAATGAGAGCAAAGGAATGGAAGTTATACAATCAAGAAGATAAACAGAGAAGAGATGGCAGTAGGCAGGAGATGTGAACCCATTTCTGACAGGGGCAGAGCTGCTGGGGAAGAGAGCATGGCAGAGGAATCCTGATACCATGCATCTGCACAGGCAGGCCACTGGGCAGGCAGAAGTAGCAGTCTTGCTCCTTGGGGAAAGGAGAGAGGCTCCCACCCAGGGACAAGCATAGTGAGGTGGGGGCGATTCAATGAGTCTAAATACCGACTGTGATGAGACTGCCTGCTCAGAGGTCAGCACACAGGCTCTCAGGTGTTGCCAGGATCTCTGTGTACAGCTGTACGGTCTGTGTACTGCACAAAGATGCATGGCTAAGGGGACTACTAGGAGTTAAAATCTAGCCCTTGCATTGTTCCCCAAGCCTTGTACTGGCTCAAGGCTGCATCTTCCTGGAGAAAGGGGCAAATGATGCCTTCTGCCAGCGATGCCAAGTGCCCATGGATGGCTTCTGTCTAGTGGGGGCACCTCTTTCTAAGTCATCTACCCAGAGGGAATGCGTATTTTGAAACTGTACAAGGGCACTGCATAGGCAAGTAGCCCTGAATATGTCTCTCTTTCCCAGGAAGGAGAAGATTGGAATGAAATAAGCCCCAGAGAAAAGACTGGCAAATATTGATATGTGGGGTCCTTCCATGAAGAGTCCAAGTGCCCACCTGTGACCCTACAGAAAAGCCCACCAACTGACACACAAAGCTTTCAATCTATTTTAATGCTCTTAAAAAGAACGGATCCACAGAATCACCAGATATCTGAAGAACGCTTGTAACATGGAAGAGACCGAGACTAACCAAGAGAGAAAGAACTTTGGGGAAACAAAGGCAAAACAAGGGAGCAGAAAGGACCTTCCCAGAAACAGCTGCCATGAACACCCTTAATGAGGTAATCCATGACCTGCACCCATAGACCTGCATCCAAGAGATAAGAAAAGGACAGAATCAAACAGAAACAAGAGAGTAACAAGATATTTTTGAAATTAAAAATTAAAACATGTATGAAGTCTATTGAGAAGATAAAGCTGAATAACTCTCCCTGAAAGCAGATCCAAAAAATGAAGAGACTAGAAATTGAAAAGATAAAAAATATTAGAAGATTAGCCTGGGAGGTCCAACATTAGAACAATAGGTGGTCAACAATGAAAGAATGTGAACCATTACAAGAAAACTTTAGAAATTTCTCATAAGAACCCAGCATGAGGTATACCAATGGCAGGTGTACCATCACTAGGACAGTTGAGACCATTAAGAATAAAAGGATCTTAACATTTCCCAGGAGTGGGTAGAAATCCAAATCACATCTAAAGACTTGGGAATCAGACTGGCCTCAGAAATCTCAACAACCTTAGGAGGTGGTAGGAGAGAATTACTTTTCACCTTCAATGCTATTACCCAGTTACACTTGACTAAGTGCAGAAGATAGATATTTTAAGTTAAGCAAAAATCTCAAAATACTTACAATAATATATACTTTCCATGTTCCTTTTCTTAGAAAGTTACTGAAGAATGTTCCACACCCCCAAAAATAAATAAATAAAATAAATCAAGCAGGAAAACCTGACAGGAAAGAACATGTAAGCACAGTGCCCTGCTTGGCTCAGGAGTGAAGAGTCCTTATGTACCCACACTGAACACAGAGGTACCGAACACTGTGATCTAACTATACTAGAAAAATAAAATGGAGTGTGGGTCAGAGCAGGAGCCATACCTCCCATAAAAGCAAGTCAGCAGATGATGTTTCTGTTAAAAAGAGTTGTAAGCATGTTATCTAGAAACGCAAAGCTAAATACCAGAAGAAACAGCTGTAAGAGTTGGAAGTAAGACTATATAGAGCAAGACTTAGGACACTAAGTTTTCATTAAAACCCTCATAATATTTGTTTAAACTATGCACATGTATTATTTGGATAAGAATTAAAAGCAAATTCTGGGGTGGTTTATCCTGCAGGCTTTGATATCCACCTTTCATTTCCACCTTCTTCTATAGTAAGCCTATACTCAAATAAAATTTTTTTTCCCCTTAAAAAAGAATCAGTTCACTGCCAACACGAACCAAATTACTTGTAGGCATCTTGCCAGTAGATGATTTTAAACAATATTACATGCTGTAATGGATGAGAGAAGAAGTCTGATTTTTGTGAACAAGCTCTAGACCCATAAAATGATACGAGGAACATTTGGGTCAGCTCTTCTCTGCCTCTTCCAGCATCTAATTTGGTTGAGGTATCCAGGGTTGCAAGATCTTTATTATCTGATTATCCGCACCTTTGAGCTTTCAGTGATATCGGGAATTCATTAATTAGCTTGTGTTCCATGGGACAAGTGGCCTTCACGATGGAATCACTCCAAGCTTCCAACAGCTTTCCACTTGGAAGGCGTAGATTCGTTCACGGCGAGAAGGCAGGCTGTAATCAGAATGGGTCAGAGGCCAGATTTGGGCTGCCATCCACTCAAATGTGCTTTGTAAATTCTTTTGGCCAAGTTGGAATTCTCTAAACTTGAAACCTACTGCTTGAAAGAAGCAAGTCCTTGGCTTGCTAAGAGAGAAACGTGGTTCCTGGAGTAAGAGCGATTCTGTTACGTCCACTGAGAAGCTGTCAGAGCTGTCTAGGGTCCTCCAGAAGTAATAGGGGATGGACTTGAAAGTGAAGACAGCTTCCTCATGGGAAAAGAACAAAGCAAAGCTTGATAGTTGGCCAGAAATAATAGTTTTCTTTAAATGAGGACCTTTTCATCTTATCATTTTATCCTTTGTTCAGGACATTCATGGAACTCAGTGAAAGTTTCCTAAAAGAGGGGGCAGCTCAGGACTGGGCATTAGGCGGCCTGGGTATGCTTGCCAGTCTGTTCCCAGTCACTGTGTGACCTTGGTACAAGCCACTGTGCTTCTCTGGGTTCAGCAGACAAGCTGCTGTCTGCGGGCCTCTTCTAATCTAATAGTTGGTGATTTTGTAAGTGGTGCCTGATACATGCTTTTTGAGGGGGAGTCATCACCATCAGCATCTTGGCAGGAAACAGGGAGTGGGGAGCCCAGGGCAGAGGAAAGATGGATGGGTGGGTAGAGGCTTCTCTCCTCTCACACACTACCTCTTCTGGTCTTCTACTTGGAGTGCTTCCCTTTCAAGAAGCCCATTATGACCAACTGCAAAGGATGCCAGTGCAGAGGCTGTGTCCTGAGGCAGATAGGCACACGCTTCCCTGGGCAGGAAGCCGCTGGACCACTTCCAGCTCTGACATCAGCCCGAGCTTATTCTCAGCCCAGACACTTCTGCGCTCCCCCAGGGGGCTTTTAAGGGGCTTTTTGCAGTGCCCTGGGGAGGCCTTGGGGGCTCAGCACAGATGCCTCAGGAGCCATTGATGGAAGCCAGGGGGCTGGCGAGGCAAACTGGGAGGGAGGCCTGGCTCTTCTGGGTCAGCCTGAGCTCTGCTTTTACTATACCATCTGACTTCATCCCTCCTCCCCCAAGAATTCATTTGAAAGGATTCTCTTGGTGGAAATGAGCTGAAAATCACAGTTTTACCTCAATTCAGTCAATGCAAAAGGGAATTTGAAATGCATCCCGCCCTCCCTATGCTCCCCAAAACAAAGTGCACTGCAGCTCAGGACCCAGCCTTCACCTTCCTCCTGGGGTTTGCCATCCTGCATGTGCGGTCCTGGAGCCGCCAGCTTTATGCTGCTCAGATATCACTGATGACCACTGCCAACTGCCAGACCACAGCAGATGCACGACACGAGCACCTGCTCAAACCCCACCTCTGGGAGGGAAAAGGGGTTTTGTCCCCAGGGAGGCTCTGCTTGGGGCATGCACTCTCTTTCTCACCAGGAGGACCCCCATCTCAGAGGTACGTAACTCAAGTCCATCTAGGACCTTAAAAACCTGCATATAGGACAAGCTATGACCCAGGTTATGGTGAACTGTTAGTAATGGTGCTTAATATATGACAAAGCAAGGCACGCGAGAACAAACTCCACCTAAGGATTCAGCAAACACCTGAGTTTTGAGTACACAGCCAAAGAGAAAAGCATGCCTAAGACTTACAGGAGAAAAAGGATACATAGATAAAAAGCAGGGAGAGGGAGTCTGTTTCCTCAGAGATGCTCAACTGTCTGCAGAAGCCCCCCATCCAGAACCTGAAATAAAATGAAAGAGAACTCCCACGCCCCCGTCAGGGTCCGGTCTTTTTATTATGCAGACACACGCTTCAGAGTCTGTTGACGTCCAGCTGTGGGAACAGCAGCAGGCAGTAAACCAGGAGCCAGAGGAAGAGCATGAAATACATCATATCCGGCTGCTGGACGAACTGTGTCAGTGAGTCGCTCTGCGGGCTCTGGCTCTTCCGCAGCATGGCTTCTCCAGAGTTGCTGGCCTTCCTGCAGAAGGGAAGACACAGACAAGGCAGTTACGAGGGGTCCCCAGTCCAATGGTCCCACGCCTTCCCCATACTGCAACCTCATTGCCCAAATGCAATGCTGAGGGCTTCGCAGTGAGGTGTTGAAGAGACTCCAAACTGTGTGTGCAGACCCCAGGCGGAGGGCCGCGGTCCAGACGGCACTAGGGTTTTCACACATGCTCAGTTCATCCCCACACACTCAGCGGGAGTAGCCGCTAGCCCCGTTCTGCACGTGGGCATACTGAGACTCCCGGGGGTAGGGGTGGGGGGCGTGGCTTGCTCAAGGCCACACAGTTTATGACAGAGCTAGGACTAGTACAGGTTGAACTCCCAGTCCAGGATACCGCCCTTCACAGCACAGTGTCCTTATAGCAGAGGTAGATGCTGACAGCACTGTGTCATTGGTTAGTAACAGACGGCACTTCGTAAGTCATGTAAAAGAATAGAGACACAGATAATTTTAAAACGGCCATCAGAAACAAAGACACATCCCACCACCCCAAGGTGTTGTGTTTGGCTCTGGAATAGAACCTTTAAAATAATGACTAGATTTGATTATGGTCAGCTTTATCTTTCTCCTTTAACTTTGCAGTTTATGGGACAGTTTACTTTTCCCTGGTGGCTAAAGCCCAGAAGGGTTCCGTGTGCCAAATTCCCAGAGAGGAAAGGGTCAGGGGCACAATCTAATTGGAAGGTCGGGGCGCCTCTGCCCGAAGCTGCATTGTTAAACTCAGTTCTAGAGCGTTGTTAGAACACGCAAGCTTCCAGGGTCATCTGCGAAGTGTGATGGAGATTATGAGGAGCAGAGCCACCCCATCCCTGAACTACCTCCAGACGCAGTGAGAGGCAAGGCCAAGAATGGATTAAACAGGTGCCTTGGTCTAGAAACTGACTTGCATGCATTGGACAATGATGAGATTTCTTTTCCTTAAACTTCTTTTTAGGAAAAAATTTAAACTATATTTTTATTACAGAGTTAATAAATGTTCAAAAACATAGGTGCGTTTCTCAATCTTGCAGGTTCAATTTTCAGTCTCAATTTCAAAAAAGGTAAAAGTACTATTTTCCTCTAAGCATGTCAAACCTGGAGGAAAACATGAATTAATATTTCCATTTAATGGCAGGAGAGGGAACCGTGTCTTGCCTCTTTTTCGGAACCAGAGAGGTGGAGTTCTAAGGATTAGGGTGTTGGGCAATATTTAGAGGCTTTCCATTCCAATAATCTACGCCCTTTCAAACCAATTCAAATCTGTGGCAAACATAAAAAAAAATCAATAAAATGAAGTGATTCAATAACTTTTACAGAGATGGGGCATCTCAGAATTGTCAGAGTTTTACAGAGAGTTCTCTGGTTTCCTATGTCCTAAATGGGACTGAACATTATAGCAGTTTTACAGCAATTGATCAATATTAGACAAGGGCATCTAGTTCTCCAACAGCAAGAAATACTTTCGTGGACATCCTGGCATGTTTGCATTCTCTCTTCATGTCTGCTCTGATGCCGTGAAACTGTAAAATCAGCTCAGTGAGCTTCTGAGTATTGTACCTATAGTGGCGACACAGAACGAACACGGTTGTCAGGCACTCTAGTATTTAGAACACCCACACTATCAGATCTCTACTTCCGGCCGGCTCCACCTCAGAAAGCCAGCTTTTGCCACTGCATTATGTCATTTCCTGAACCATGCCCCGCCCATCCATGTTCATTAATATCCACTTTTCCCTCCTATTCATATTCAATTAACATTCATCTTCTCTGGAACAATTATTGTATTATCTCAGACTATTAATACTGGTATCAACAAAGCCTAGTTGGAGAACAGCCACC